AAAGAGATTGGGCGTGCTAGAGGCAGGAGAAGAGAAAGAGAAGAGGGAGACCTCAAAAAGTGGACTCGTTCTTCTGTGAATGTCCACAGAATAAGAAAAATCTCTGTTACAGTACACTCGCACAGACACACACAATGTCTGCAGTGATTTACAGCAGCAAGATCCCACAACAAAACAGCTCCAGTAACAAATTGCAGCATAAAAAGGAGAAGCTGGCGTATAGCTGGGTTGCAAAGCGGTTTGCATATGTGACGGCACCTGCGGACACCAGGTACGGGACTTTCTAGTTGACCATCGGCTGGCATCTGTATGAGCTGAAACAATGCTGTCTGATCCCAAACTTAATGAAAACTTATTGCTTCCCTATTTTTTTTTTTGGCTGGGAGTTTGCAACCCTATTAGTTAGGTTGCTTAATATTTCTGCTAAGTACTCTTTAAAATACCAGAATATGGAGGATTGAGTAGGTTTAAGTTTATTAGATTGATCAGTTTTGCTGAACTATGAAATATTTTGGGTGCAGTGTATTTTTTGCATACAGGTATAACAGAATAGCTTTAGTGTTTGTTTTTTTTTGCTTGAACTTGAGTATGTACTTATACAAAATGCAGCAAGATATAAAAAAAACAGTTTATTGATTAAAAAACACTATATCGGATTTATATCGGTATCGGCCGATATCCAAATTTATGATATCGGTATCGGACATAAAAAAGTGGTATCGTGCCATCTCTAGTAATTAATAACACCAACAGAGTCGTATCAAGTGCATCAGTGAGCCGCTCAAGCAAGTCTGCATGGAAAATATCAAAGCCTTAGAAGTGGGGCACTTAAATGGGACGCAGCAATTACTAAGGAGGTGCCACCAATGGCTACACCTCCTTAGGAAACTCAACTCCTTTGGAGTCAGCACACCCATCATGATGACTTTTTACTATGCCTTCCTGGAAAGCATCATGACCTTCTCCATCACCTGCTGGTTCCACTCCCTCAGCCTTCAGAACAAGAACAGACTGCAGCACACTGCATCAGTGTGCTCTAAAATCATTGGGCTGGCTGTCAGAACTCTGGCACAGGTTTTCAGCCAACAGGCCCTTAGAGAGGCAGCTAAAATCATCAACGACCCCTCTCACATTCTTCACCCCGCATTTCAATGCCTCCCTCTGGGCGATGCCTCCGCTGCATTTCCTGCAGGACTGAGAGGAGGAGCGCCACCTTTGTCCCCAAAGCCACTCTGCTTTTTAACACCAGCCGATAACACCATTTCCCACACCAGAAACATAAACTACACTCTTTTTATACTACCGACACTTTATTCACTTTTAGTCACTCACAGTTATTTATTCACCTTTCAGTCACTTTAATTTTAAAACTGTATATACTGTATATTCTGTGCATTTATTATCTCACTCTTATTGCCTGTTCTTACTGTCCTTATCTTCAACGTTATGCTGCTCTGTTGTATGTTAATTGCCCCTTGGGGATAAATAAAGTCTAAAAAAAAATGGTTTACCGTTTGAAAGTTGGGGGTGTTGGATAAAGTCAGATGGCATTAATCACTACAAAGTCGCTACTACACTGCTTCCTCACTGGCTTCATCTTGTGCTTTGGGTTTGCTAAAAAACAACCGATAAAATCTGTGAGCAATGTGAAAGAAGTAGCTAGTAGGCAGAAAAGCCCAGATGACTCTCCCAGTGCATTTTGATGTCTTTCAGCTCACTGTTTTGGATCACTCCCTGTTAGCAGTAGCAGGAGGAAGGTGGCTGTTTTCAGCGAAAAGAGAGTCTGAGACAAAATCATTCTATCAATCTGTTCAGCAATCAACAGCAGGCAAGGCAACTACAGTAAGTGACGACCACAAGAAGGATTTAAAAAAACAAAACATAACCAGGAGGAGTCTGGACAATGAAGATCATTTTAATTGAATCTGGTTAAACTGGCTGCTGGTTGGTCAAAGCAAACTGATCAAGGCGTTCTGTGTAAGCTGAAGTTACAGTTACAGTTTTAGAAATGTTTCCCATGCTTCGAACTCTTGTCAGACAACACTGTAATTTTACTGACAAGAGCACAAAAGCCGGGCAGAGACAAACACGTGTGTCTAGACATTATCTCTCCTCTAGCTTAAATCCCTGCCAACCATATGCATCTTTCATTCAAACAACAAAAGGTCTGCAGCAGGCACCTGCTTGAATGTCAGCCCACAAAAACCAGACGTCTCCTGCAGGGAAAACAGGAGAGAAATCCGCTTAATAATCTACATTTCCAGAGTGGGAATTGCTGGAGGGCACAAACAGCCTTGAGCCTACCAGGAGGGAAAATAGAATTACTCTGAACGATACAAAGCTCCAAAAATATGAACGACTCCACTGTCTGCCCAACTTGTGTGTTGGAAAAAGAAACTGCTCGGTTCTTTCCACGTCACCCATTTCCCCTGTAGAAAACAGAGCTCACTGTGGTTTCTGAGGGACGGCATAAACTCCAACAGCAAACTCTTAAACACATGGACTAAGAAAAGGGCCTGTATTTAAATCCCCCCAATTATATTTAATTGAGGAAAAACACAGCCAATTCCAGCCGCACCGGCTGAGCCTGTGAGCTGAGCCTGTGAGCTGAGCTTGCATTGTGACGGGCCCGTTTTCACTGGGGACGGAGCAGTGGCAATGGAAACGTAAAGCTGGAGACTGAGGCAGGGATAGGGAGGAAACCGTGACAGAGGGAAATGAATGAGAGTATAGATAATGAATGAAAGAGAGAAAAAAATTAGATCGAGTGAGGGAGGGAGGGTTGGATAATTACGGCTAGGAGGGAGGGGAATAACTTCCTCCGTACTGCCCTCCTTGTCTTGTGGTGCAGGTTATTTTTAGCTACGAAGGAGAGCAACAAGGTACTGTAAAGGCAATCATTTCTGCTGCAGCACAGCCATCGCTCACTGCAACATCTCTGTCACGGCAGACAACACACACACAAATGCATGTGTGTGGTTTTTAAAGGCCAGACTAAAGCTGTCAATAGCCAAAATATAGCCAACATTCCCCCTTAAAGGGCCACAGTCTCAAACATATCGACAACACAACACCTAGCTAACTATCTACATCTGCCCAAATCAGATTTGTCAGCAATTTTCCTCCCTTAATTTGCCACCTAAATAGCAACTCCTTTAATTGTTTTGGGCTAACGTGTATACTGCATTTCGCAAAGGTCAAGTTTCTCACTTGAAAGTGCTTCTCATTTTTCACACCGAAAACAAAAGCCCACTCTCAGATGCCAAACGTGTCAATACCAGCCGAAAGTGTGTCAGGTCAAGCCAATTGTGTTAGGGATTAGCTGAACGCACATACACAGAGTGTTTTCCCCACATCAATGACATTTACCGGGTCAAGGAGAAGAAATCCTATCCTAGCATCTGAATCAATAGCTCCTCTTAAAGGAATTAAAAACATACAGTATTTCATTACCCGATGCATCTAATAGCGTTTTCTGAAATCGATGTTTATATGCTTTTTGCTGTCCTATAGATCATCCCTCCACTTTCCATCTGTCTCCGCAGTACTACGTTGTGAGGTTAAAGTAATCAAATCTGAAATTTGATATCCGTGACCATTGGTGATCCTTTACTCATTAACATATGTTACGTTTAATAAGTGGTGAGAAAACCCCCACACCTATCAGTGCACTCAAAACACGTTTTCTTGGGATCTAACTAGGACTAATTACAGCTTTAAACGCCTTGTCTAGATCTTCACTGCCATACAGGGACTTATGCAATTCAGTGCTAATTAGGCAAGTATGTTAGAAACAAACTTATTGCAAATGTTGAGATGATTTATAGATATGAATAATGCTAAATAGTAACGTGTGTCAGCAGTTAAAGATCTGCTTCTTAATAAAGCATGACTCACAGCCCTGCAGTACCATGCAGAGAGAGACAAAGGGATTATGGCAGATTCCTAGAACAAAACAGTTATTTTACTTTAACAAAGAGGTTGCTGCTCTACCACGTCTTTTTAAATTCGTTTTTTTAATCAGGAAGTGAAGTCTGGAGTCTGGAAAATTGGAGGTCCCAAAGAAAACCCACGCAAGCACATAGAGAACATGCAAACTTCAAACAGGGCCAAACCAATCGGGCTGTTGCTGTGGAACGATTTTAACCACAGAGCCACTGTGCGCTTTGACCTGTTAGTTTGTTTTACTGTGTGAGTCTACAGTTAGTTTGGATCCAAGTTACGCTGAAACACCAAACACATTGCAACTTAAGGAAACACCAGGAAATAGAAAAATGCAGAAAAATCCAAAAGTACACAAAACGCAACAGAAGTTGGATAAAAGACAACGGAAGAAGTCAAAAAAAGAAAAGCAAACATCTTTTGTTTTTTGTGGGTTTTTGTTTTTCTGTCATGTTGTATTCAACTTCTGTAATGTTTTGTCTGCGTTTGACCTCTCAGGGCCACCGTACCCAACTCACACAATAATACTAAATAAACTAACCACTGGCAGTGATAAGCCAGTAACTCCTTTGTCCATTAATGCAAAATTACTGTTGTTGTTCACAGAAATCTGGTAGCTTTACACAGAAAAATGTTAAATGTAGCAAACTACAAAAATACATATCATTAGGTGGCTAAAATGCTTAGCATCTCTCCCAGTACTCCTACTGCTCCTCCATACTGGGGCATGCTGACAAGATGTATTATAGGTAATACACTGACTGTGGAGAAATAGTTCATATAAATCAAACAAATAAAAAATTCAAATTGACCTTTTAATACAAAAAATTGGATGAAATACTAAATAAGATTAGAGGATTATTGGTTGTCTACAAAGCTAGGTTAACTGTTTCATACCTGCTTTCTTAAAGCCAAGAGAAACACCTGCCTGATGTGTCATCGTATCCATCACAAGAGACTTGAATAGTATCAATCTCCTCTAACTTCAACCACAACAGGAAATGAGTGCAATCCTAAAATTACAAATTATTAATTTAAGTTGGAAATACGTATCTTACCTGTGATGAGTTCTCGTACTTCCATGTCATTGGTCTTCCTCAGAAGGCGGATAAGGGCCGGGATGCCATCACAGTTCTTGATGGCCACCTTGTTGTCATTGTCCTTGCCATAGGAGATGTTGCGCAGGGCACCACAAGCCTTACGATGGACTTCAGACTTGGGGTGATCCAGAAGACCCACCAGAACTGGAATTCCCTTCAGCTGACGCACATCTTTCTTAATCTTGTCATTTTCGTAGCACAAGTGCTGCAGGTAGGCAGCGGCGTTGGACTTGACTGGGTCGATCGGGTGGCCTAGCATGGCAATGACCTCAGGGAGATCTGGGTCCCGCCAGCGTGGGTCCTTGCGGATGCTGTCGATGGAAGGTGAGCGACGACCACCCATGCGGTCCAGACTGGCCATGCTACCCCTCTCTGGCTGAGCCAGTGGTGCTGAATACATCCCATGGATGTAAGGGTGGCGCTCATCGATCAGCTCAGCCTCAATGGGGTCATCTGGGTACCCTCTGGATGAGGAGAGAAGAGAGGACAGTTAGGACGAGGAAGATGGACGAGGTAAATGGGGGGTGACTCAGACAGATTTGTCCAAGAGAAGAATTAGGCAGCCGGGGGGAAACACTCTGAGAGAAGCTAACTGAGGTGAAAGCTGCTGACTAATGAGGTGAAAAGAAGTGAGAGACAGAGCAGGACAAGGACACGGTACTGGACAGAAAGAGAAGGATCTGTGGTTCAGATCAGATTTTACCAGATTTGCCAGAAGCACTGTGATGGTAGTTCTTTGCAATAAAATACATATAGTATGCAGCATTCTTATTATTCCTCCCTGCCAGGTGGCAGCAACAAAAAAGTCAGACTTCAAGAAACATAAAGTCTTAGAAGGAGTGACTGAGAGACAGGAAAAGACTGGTGAAAGAAAAGACGGGCACTTCACAAAGAAACAGACAAGGCAATACCAAAGAAAATCCTTTGAAGGATAGCCTTGTGAAGTTTTCCTTTTCTTTTTTTTTCTAGAAGCCACCACATACGGCAGAGAAAGGATTTGATGTCTTTTCCCCCAGGGAACAGCGAGAGCTCGGCTGTCCCTCAGGGAGGACTATGAGCTCCTATGATACCTCCAGGGCTCCCTTTGCTCACAGTGCCAACTCTAGCATACAGTTGCTGAAATGTTAATGACCATCACTCTGGGACGCTTCTACCAGCATTACCCTTATTAGCGCTACTGACATTACAGCTAAGGACCTAAACAGTCTTCAGCTTTGCTAATTTTTCTGCAATGGAACTGAGTGGCAGAGAAAGAAGGGAGCTCATGGGGTCCGCTGAGGGGGGAGGTTCCTTTAATGATCCCTATTTCCAAAGCCTCTCAGAGCCTGCTCTTTACAACTCTTTACTCCATAGACAGGCTCATCAAATTCCTGCTGGAACATGGATGAAAAAATAGGCGCTCAATTCCAGTGACAGATCATCGTTGCTAGAGTTCAGGTGACTTATTGTTTTTCTTTAATCATAGGAAAGGTTTTCTTTTTTTGTTGGGCTCAACTGCAGCAGCTCAGGTAAGCCAAATTTAACACTGGCAGAAAAGTTCAAAGGAACATTTTTGAAGCTTGTTTCACTGACATGTCTCCTTTGTCTATAAGGAGAATGTTTAGTAGGTAAAAATCTTAATATGGGAAGAGGAATATCATTACATGAGTGCACTTACGCACAGCCATTATCATACCTCGCCTACTCCACAGCTTGAGACTGCGTACCCTCATTACATAATACAGCTGCTCTCCGCTTGTGGTACTTGATATATGGTGGTTAGTGGTGTGACAAAATGGTGGTCAGTGGTAAGCTGACTGAGCTCTAGTTGTAATGTGTTTTTTATTAATTATGCTTCCCACGCATCGTCACTTTCTTGTTTTTATGAACAAATTTGATGAATGTTTAGTGCTTACTTCAAATGAAAATCCTCTACTTCTTCACCTTCTCTATGTTGCGATGCAGTCTAGGTAGTAATGTCAAATGGTTGTAGTGATGTTGGCCCCGGTTTGAACACATTTTCTGTTCCCCTTGAAATTTAAGCCCAAGCCGTTTTCCAAAGAATCAGCCGCCGTAGTGGAGTAGTTTACTACCTGGCAGAAGAAATCTCTGACATTTCAAAAAGCGATTTTCAATTGCTATCTGAGATCGCTTGTGAAAGAAAAATACAGACATGACATTTGCTCTTAGTCATTGCTTATAATGAGCTGACTAAATGTATCGGATGCAACAGGAGAAAAGTGACAACACAAAGCTGCGGGTCTTTTGGAAGTTCCCCACAAGCATCTTTCCCGTTTCACGTCTCCTCTTATTAAGACGAAAGCTGTGAAGGTGTACGTCAGTTTTTTTGTTTCATTTCCACTCTATGTTACAACCAGATTTTGGATGGTTTGCATAGTGTGGGTTGTTTGAAACAAGCACCTTTTGTAATGATAGCTGTGGAGTGCAACAAATTTAATCAGGTTTTCACAGATCTCAAAGTGCATGAAGTGTGCAAAGGTACTGGAGACCTTCCTTGGGCAAAATATGTATAGAACAGGGTGTTTAAAGCATATTAAGGCCGACAAGTTGATATGGTCCTGCATACTCTTACAGCAGCAGACAATTTTCCATATCTGTGTGCTATCAAAAGCCCTCCACAAAATAACGGAGAGCTGGAGGGCAAATAGCACAACGTTAAGTGCTTGCACACCTAAATCAGTCATCTCTCTGTTTCTAAGTTCAGCACGGTGGAACAAAAAGGACATTTTGTTATTACTGCTTTTAAAGTCATCACATAAAATATATTTTGTTAATTTGTGCTAAACTTTGAGCACTCAGTTTATCTCAATGTTTTTTCCGTTCTTTGCCAGATAAGAGACTTGGATGCTTAGGGGCCGTTGTATAATCGATAGAAGCTGGTTAAAAGTTGGCTGCAGGACACGTGCCCTCCCTCGTTTGTTGCGTTGTTTTTCCATAACTGACATTTTGGCTTTTATGGTACAACTTGGTGCGTCTTACTGCCAGAAAAATCGATACGAGATGTACTAAAAGAAAAACTCCTGCTTAACTATTGTAAAAAGATTCTAAATCTCCTATTCAGGTGGATGGAAGGAGGATTAATAGAGATGGAGTAAGACAACAAGGCTGTCAAGAACAGCCCTGCGGCTAAATGCTGCAAGTTAACTAAATTGAAAGAGCTGTGGTGCTGAACGGCTGTAGCTTGAAGGGATATGTCAAGTCACAACAAACCTGAACTGCAAAGGGCATTTGGTGTATTCTCCGTGTTTACGATTCTTTTAAAAGTTTATTTTTCCTCTCTAATCTTTATGGAACATTTTGGGGAGCCACAAATCTCAATAGCAGCCTGTAACCACAGTACGGAAGGAGGGGCCAATCACGAGCGCAGAAGCCTGATTACAGCACATCATTTGGACAACAACTGCTGCTCTGAGGTTTGGCAAAAAACACTGAGCTTCTTGACACACTACAAGGAAAAGGAGGGAAGTTTTAAGCGCATGTGCACGTGCTGCTGGTTTACTAATTGCTTCCATGTGTACGCCACGATCCAAACACATACAACAACATTCAGAGATCTCTTTCGCTATAGAGTATTTGACTTGACAAGGCAAAGAAAGGCAGAAATTACCCCGCTCTAAAAGAAGGGAAGTTCACAATCTCAGCATCAACAACACTGCACATACCCGCCACACACACACACACGCAGACACATTATCTGCCGTGCCGTGTTTCTCATGCACTTTCTTTAACGTGCACTTCAATACACAGATAAGATGTACAGTTGTGCAGATGGTGCCTCATTTAGATCTGGGCCAACGTGGCAGGGCCGGTGGTGAAGCAGACATCTTGAGGCTGAGTGATGGGAATGTCAGGATTTGCATTTAAATTGGCGCCATTGTGCGTGCAGGGTAGGGTGTATTCATAGGATGCTCTGAGCATGATTACAGAAGATCACTCTCCTCATGTTAATCGAGCTGGTAAATGTCCAGCCTATTTGTGTCGTGTGCGACTGCGCGGGCGCGCTTGTTTTGTTTTATGACACAAAGAACAAAGAAGAAAAGATAAGCAGATACAGTAGATATGAGATGTGTGTGTGGCTGCAGAGTTTGGTATTCATCGATTTGTTTGAACTCTGTCACATCCTCACTATGCTCCCATTGCTTCATCGTTTGTCAATTACTTGCATCACATTTCAGTCACGGCCATGCATGAGCCTCGTCTTCTGCAGGCCCATAAAAGAGGCGACTATGAAGGATTACAGGCTTAGAAGATGTTTGGATTTCATATGTACAAATACCATCCTGGCATTTATGAGGTTTTCAGTGACTGTCCCTGTTGACAATTTGCTCATTTTGAATTAATATTGTTTATCGTGCATAGAAGTCATTGTGGAAATGGGAAGTGAAAGGAACAGAGCTGGAGTCTTTCCATCCAGTCACTTTTTAATTACTCTGGTTTTCTGATAGCATTT